GGGCCTGCAACCCAGACGCGCAGGGACAGCCCTCCCAGGCTGCCGAGGTTGATTTCTAGAGAGAAAACAGGGCTGGGTCCACAGGGATGTCCCAGCCGCTCTTCAAAAGAAGCTGCAGCCCAGGGTCTTAACCGGGGCTCAGTCCCGCAAAGGGGTGGCGCTGGTGGCAGGGCCCATTTCCCCTGGGGAGACCCTAAGAGGCCCCATCACCCTCCCCACGGGAAAGAGCCCGATTCCTCCGTCGGAGGGTGAGGCCAGGTAGAAACCCGGGGGATGGGCACCCGGCCTTCCCAGGAGCACTTAGCCTGAGTCTTACAGGACCACCCGGCACCCCTCGGGGATCAGGGCCACTATGTCAAGGTGAAGCTGACCTCAGTGGACAAGAACCATGGGAGGGAGGTTCTCCGATGGAGGCCGACACCCCTGATCAGGTGGTCCCACCCTGCAGCCAGGGCCTTCATTCGGCCTCTGTACACTTGACCCTGCAGCCCTCTCTGTCCCTGCAGGGAGTGTAGTCTAGCCCACTCACTAGCCTCTTCCTACACCTGGGGAAACCGAGGCAGGAGCCAGTGAGGTAACTACACTCACCTGGCAATCAATCACGAAGGCTTCCGGCACCTCGGAGGACACACCCTGCTCTGGGCAGAGCGCGCGTTCCTTACCGAGAGCAGGTGGCAGCCAGTCTCCCTCCACGGCTTCCCGGGCAGGTCTCGAGGGAGTCCAGGGACAGGGGCCCCCTCCCCTCCACATGTGCCAAAGCAGCACCTGAGTGAGGAATCGCCGACAAACAACCCCACAGCTTCAGGAACGAAAGGGCCCCAGAGGAAGTACTAGGACCCAAACCACCAGACCCCGGACGGTCAAGGGTAGCCAGCTGCATGCGACCCGCCCGTCTAGTGCCAGTTCCCACATCCTCCCACCCCACCCAGGCCCCAAGACCCCCCACCCCACTGGACGGACAGTGCAGGCACCCAGCCTGGGGAGACTATGCCACAGGGGGGCTAAGGCCCTGGCGCCTGGCAAGGCCATTGGGGTGGTGTTTTTTGTCCTTACATTTTCTACTCGGCAGTGTTTTAACGGTATTCCCAAACTCGGTTGACACGGCTCGTCCACACCAGCATACCAGGCTTCCTCCCAGGGCAGTTTAGAGGAAGCTTCCTCTGGGCACGGTCAGGTGGTCTTCCTGCCCCTTCGTCCCCTGGCCTCCACGGACTCTGACTGAGGGGGGGCGGGGGGGGGGTGATTCTTGGGCTTCCCTCCCCCCCCCAGCACCCATCACAGCGGCCTGTCGGAGGCTCAGTTCCCATCCACACCACTTCCTTCCTGCCTAGTGGAGGGCAACAAGGGTCCTGGAGGCTGGTCCTGGACTTCCTCCTCCCGACGGGAGGGGCAGAGAGCCAAAGGGCCACGTGGCTCGGTCCCTTGGACAAGCAAGCTCAGGGAGGACGCCGCAGAGGAGGCAGCTACGAGGACTTTGTAACCCTGTCGGGCACAGACCATGCAACCTGGGGCCACCTGGGCCTCGTCCTCTACCTGCTCAAACGTGCTTCCACCAAACAGAGGAAACCCATTTACTAGTTTTTCTAATAAATCAATAACGCTCCACACCTCTCTCCGTGTCTTACCTGACAAGCCTTGCTTCCCTTAGCCCTGGGCCAAGGAGGGCTGGTTGAGCGAGCAAAGGAGGAGGCAGCCGTTTCCAAGCCAGACTCTCTCTCTGGCTTGTCCCTGAGTCTTACAGGCCAACTCCGCCAGCACCCATGTCCTGCGCCTCACCCCAGACCCTGGTTCAAGCTCACTTGGCAATGTACCCGACCCCCTGAGGGCCTGCTGCAGGCCTTTCTCCCGAGCTCAGGACAGAGGTCCTAGCGGGACATCAGAATCGCCATGCCACTGGGACCGGTTTGGCTCAGTGGATAGAGCGTCGGCCTGCGGACTGAAAGGTCCCGGGTTCGATTCCAGGCAAGGGCATGTACCTTGGTTGCGGACACATCCCCAGTGGAGGGTGTGCAAGAGGCAGCTGATCGATGATTCGCTCTCATCGATGTTTCTAACTCTCTATCCCTCTCTCTTCCTCTCTGTGAAAAATCAATAAAAAATGTATTAAGGAAGGAAGGAAGGAAGGAAGGAAGGAAGGAAGGAAGGAAGGAAGGAAGGAAGGAAGGAAGGAAGGAAGGGAGAAATAAAGAATCGCCACGCCTGTGGTTCATCTCCACAGGGAGCTCATCTGGGGGATGGGGATGTAGGCATAGCCATTTTTTCAAAAAACTCCACTGGTGATTCTAATGGGCAGCCAGTGAGAACCACTGAGCTGGTCCAAGGTTTCCGGATGCTTGTGCAAGAATCTCCCGGGGAAAGGACTCCCTACAACGTCCCAGGCCCCGCCCACTGAAGCGTCAGATGCAGGGAGTTTGAGAAGCAACGAATCATCCACCTCCTTCAACTTACAGATGAGCGAAAGCGTTTAGGTGGCCCGGCTAAGTGAACGGCAGGGCTGGGACCAATACCTGGGCCCCCTGACTCTCACTGCGTTAGGTTTGTGGGTACTCAATGCCATGACCCAAGGCTCGCCTGATAGAAGCTGGCCCTCTCCTCGGTGACAGGAAGTGGCCGCAGAACACGGCAGCAGGGAAAGCATGGGCATCTCTGGCCCGTCGGCGCTGCCAGCCTCCACTTCCTTTGACTTCAGCGGACTCTGCATCCACCTTTAGAGCGAGTCTGTCCCCCGAGGTCAGAAGACTCGTGAGGCCCTGAACAGACTTGTACGGACCCTGAGGGCAGTTCTACCACCTGGGCCTGCAACCCCCTACTCCCAGGCCCCAGGCAGAAGGAACAGGGCAGAACAAAAGGGCAGAAAACCCAACTGGAAAGAGGGAGGCACTCTTAGCCTTTCTGAATCGAAGACACTTTGAGGACAGTGGAAGATTAAGGATGCATCCCACAGAAATGCACCTGCACTCTTCACCCAGAGTTCCAAGCCCCTGAAGACATTCCTAGGCTCCAGGTTCAGAATCCTCGCCTCCTAGGATGTCTCCTGGGAATGAGGGGAGAGAGTGAAGGCACCCTAGTCACGGGGAACTCCTGCCTACTAGAAAAATGTTCCGTTCACTGCCCCGCTCCCACCCTTACTTCCTTTGGTCCAACTTTGGTCCCTGAGGAAAAGAGCTCAAAGCTGGCATGACACCCCTGCCCCCAGGACAGGTTGCCAAGCTGTGGCTGGACAGACGTCTGTGGGAGTAGAGCAGCCGAGAACAGGCCCTTCCCACACATCCCCTGCCCCAGCCGCCCCCATGAGCACCTGGTGCCCGTGCCTCATGAGCATGGACAGTGGATGAGTGAACGTAAAGCTTCAACCCCCACGCCCTGCCTCCCCTAAGACACCCCAGTCAGGCCCAGTAAGTCACCCCCATGTCCCACCTCCCCTAAGACACCCCAGTCAGGCCCAGTAAGTCACCCCCGTGTCCCACCTCCCCTAAGACACCCCAGTCAGGCCCAATAGGTCACCCCCATATCCCACCTCCCCTAAGACACCCCAGTCAGGCCCAGTAAGTCACCCCCATGTCCCACCTCCCCTAAGACACCCCAGTCAGGCCCAGTAAGTCACCCCCGTGTCCCACCTCCCCTAAGACACCCCAGTCAGGCCCAATAGGTCACCCCCATGTCCCACCTCCCCTAAGACACCCCAGTCAGGCCCAATAGGTCACCCCCATGTCCCACCTCCCCTAAGACACCCCAGTCAGGCCCAATAGGTCACCCCCATGTCCCACCTCCCCTAAGACACCCCAGTCAGGCCCAGTAAGTCACCCCCGTGTCCCACCTCCCCTAAGACACCCCAGTCAGGCCCAGTAAGTCACCCCCATGTCCCACCTCCCCTAAGAAACCCCAGTCAGGCCCAGTAAGTCACCCCCGTGTCCCACCTCCCCTAAGAAACCCCAGTCAGGCCCAGTAAGTCACCCCCGTGTCCCACCTCCCCTAAGAAACCCCAGTCAGGCCCAGTAAGTCACCCCCGTGTCCCACCTCCCCTAAGACACCCCAGTCAGGCCCAGTAAGTCACCCCCATGTCCCACCTCCCCTAAGACACCCCAGTCAGGCCCAGTAGGTCACCCCCATATCCCACCTCCCCTAAGACACCCCAGTCAGGCCCAATAGGTCACCCCCATGTCCCACCTCCCCTAAGACACCGCAGTCAGGCCCAATAGGTCACCCCCATGTCCCACCTCCCCTAAGACACCCCAGTCAGGCCCAATAGGTCACCCCCATGTCCCACCTCCCCTAAGACACCCCAGTCAGGCCCAGTAGGTCACCCCCATGTCCCACCTCCCCTAAGACACCCCAGTCAGGCCCAGTAGGTCACCCCCATGTCCCATCTCCCCTGAGACACCCCTGGCCAGATCCACTCCCCCACCCCAGCCAGGCCCAGTCAAGACGCCACACAGGTGGGTGGGTCAGCAGTGGTTATTGCACTGTGGGCAAGTAATGAAATGTGTATACATTAGCGATATCCACAGGGTCAGCAAGACAACCCACAAAAGTACCTGAACGGAGTCCGTTACATTCTTCGCGGGAGGGGAGCCGACAACAGAGAAAACACGCACGCGCACACAGACACACCACGGGGTGGAAAGCAATAAATTACGGGCCCCGCTCCTGCCTGGAGGCTCAGGAAAGGCCCGGCCGCAGGGCAGAGCCTCTCCGGCCGCCTCCGCCCGGCTCCTCCGTCTGGCGGTGGCCGGCCAATGCCGGGGGCCTGAGCGGGGCGTGCTCTCCCAGGGAAGAGGGGAGCTTAAATATTTGGCTTCTTATCGGAGAGAACTATATACAAGGAAAGCGGCCACGCTGGCCTGAGGGGAGAGGGGCTCCGGGAAGGTCCCTGTGGAAGGTCCCTGTGAGCCCCGGCAGTGCCAGGGCGGTCACAGCAGCGGAAGGCACTCGCTGAACGGTCTTTTGGGGGGCCCAGGGCCAGACCCCGGTAAGGAGCCATTCCCTCCCCGACTCAAGAGTCAACCTACGGAGTTCAAGGCCTGGAATTTCTCCCTCAGGTTTCGCACACGGCCTTGCTGGCTCGGGTCCACCGGGTCCCTGGGACCCTCCTCCTTCGGCCAGTTCTCTGCAGACGCCTGCAGATCCTGGCCCTGCGCCCCCACGGCTGCCGGCGAGCCGGGTCCCACAGGGGGGCCGGGCAGGGGCCCCTTCTCCATGACGATCACCCGCCGGTTGTCCTCCAGGGCGAGGTCCGCGGTGACGTGCAGGGCCTCCTCCCCGTCCGGCCAGCGGCGGGGCAGCCCCCCGGGGGGCCGGGGCTGGGGCGGGGCGGCCTCCGGGCCCACGCGGCCCCGCCTGGCCCTCAGGCTGCGGCAGCGGCCCAGCCTGCCGGGCGGCGGCGGCTCCACCATGTTGGGCACCGAGCAGCTCCGGCTGACGGGCAGGCCCCGGGGCCGGCCGCCCTCGGCCCGGGCCGCGGCGTCCTGCGAGGCGTACAGGGAGCAGAGCTCGCGCACGTCGGGCCAGTGGAAGGTCTCGGTGTCCAGGGGGCTGAGGGGGCTGCGGCCGGAGGGCCGGGCCCCGGGGGAGGAGGCCCTCGAGGCGGCGGCGGGGGGGCTGAAGGAGAAGCGCCGCGGCGGCGAGGCCTCCCCGGCGGAGCGCGGCCGGGGCGGGCTGTGCTCCGGGACCCGCTGCTGCTCCTGGCCGAGGGACAGCACCGGCCTCCTCCTGCCTGTGGGGGAGAGAGGTGCCTGAACGCCGGGCGAGGGCCGCCTCCGAACGGCCTTCACACTCCGGGCAAGCCGGCGGGCGGGGCTCTGGGTGTGAGGTGGAGAGAAACCTCACTTACCCTGCGTGGCCGCTTTATCACAGGGAAATGGGAAGAATAAGGCAAGGGCAGTGGGCAAGGGATCAAGAGTCAAAGGAAGAAAGATGAGAGCTCCTGTTCTCCTGGAAAAGGGGGGAGGGGCACACCCACATTTCCTCCAGAGGCCCTGCTCCATGGGAAGGCTGGGGAGGGCAGGGGAAGGGCTGGGGAGGGCAAAGGAAGAGCTGAGGAGGGCAGTGGAAGGGCTGGGGGGGCAGGAGAAGGGCTGAGGGGCAGGAGAAGGGCTGGGGAGGGCAGTGGAAGTGCTGGGGGAGGCAGAGGAAGGGCTGGGGAGTGCAGGGGAAGGGCTGGGGGGGCAGGAGAAGGGCTAAGGGGGCAGGGGAAGGGCTGGGGAGGACATAGGAAGAGCTGAGGAGGGCAGTGGAAGGGCTGGGGGGGCAGGAGAAGGGCTGAGGGGCAGGAGAAGGGCTGGGGGGGCAGGAGAAGGGCTGAGGGGCAGGAGAAGGGCTAAGGAGGCAGGAGAAGGGCTGGGGGGCAGGGGAAGGGCTGAGGGGGCAGGGGAAGGGCTGAGGAGTGCAGGGGAAGGGCTGGGGGCAGGAGAAGGGCTGAGGGGGCAGGGGAAGGGCTGGGGGGGCAGAAGGGCTGAGGGGGCAGAAGAAGGGCTGAGGGGGCAGGGGAAGGGCTGGGGGGGCAGAAGGGCTGAGGGGGCAGAAGGGCTGGGGGGCAGGAGAAGGGCTAAGGGGGCAGGAGAAGGGCTGAGGGGGCAGGGGAAGGGCTGAGGGGACAGGGGAAGGGCTGGGGAGGACTGGAAGGGCTGGGGGGGCAGAAGAAGGGCTGAGGGGGCAGGGGAAGGGCTGGGGGGGCAGAAGAAGGGCTAAGGGGGCAGGGGAAGGGCTGGGGGGCAGGGGAAGGGCTGGGGGGCAGGAGAAGGGCTGAGGGGGCAGGGGAAGGGCTGGGGAGGACATAGGAAGAGCTGAGGGGGCAGGGGAAGGGCTGGGGAGGACAGAGGAAGGGCTGGGGAGGGCAGGGGAAGGGCTGGGGGGCAGGAGAAGGGCTGAGGGGGCAGGGGAAGGGCTCCACCATGGCAGCACGCAGGCCTCGGGACGTTAGACCAGGTGCCAGGGCTGCCCCCGGCTCTCGGTGTGAGGTCCAGCCCTCTCTTTGGTAGAGGTCCTTTAGGGATCACTCTCCCCCAAAAGCCAAGCGGCTCTCAAAAATGCTCTTCCGCCCCACACCCGTAGGCGGGGCCCGCCTCCAACCCCCTCGTACCTTTGCCACCGGACGGCCTTCCCGCCTCCTCCTGCAGGCGGGGATCGGCGGGCGCCGCGTCCTCCCAGGGCAGCAGAGGCCGGGCCGGCCCCACTCTGCTCTTGATGCGGAGGCTGTACTGGCGGGCCAGCTGGTAGACCTTGTTCCGGACCCGCTCGCTCACGGGGCCGTCCATCATGTGGGAGAGCTGCACGAGGCAGGGGTGCAGCGGGGCGGCCAGCTCCGCCTGGGAGCCGCCGCTCAGCTCCCTCACCAGCTCCTTCAGCTCCCGGGCCAGGCGGGCCGGCCCGGGCCGCCCGGGGGGCGAGGCGCTCTCGGGGGAGGCGGGGGCTGGCTCCTCGGTGATGGCCCCCAGCTCGTGCTCCTCCAGGATGAGGAGCGGCTCGCGCAGGTCGAAGCCGTTGGCCTGGCACGGGCCGGGGCCCTTCTGGGGACTCGCCCCCGAAGACTCCATCCCCTCCCAGACCTTCACCATCTCCGAGGACGGGCGGAACTCGGCGTCTGTGACCGGGCCGGGGTCCCCCGCCCCCGCGCCTGCCGGGCCTGGTGCCGGGAGGTCGAACAGGACCCAGGAAGCCGGCCTGGAGCCCGGCGGTCTCCTGTGCCCCCCGGGGGCCGCCGGCGCCGGGTCCTGCTTGGGGAGGTTGTTGAACCTGGAGACGGAGCTCCGCACCAGGCCCTTGGGGATGTAGGACAGGCTCTCCCGGCGCCGGACGCTGAAGCCGGCGTCGTGGTGCTCGGCGTTCTCGTAGTAGCTCTTGATTCTGTCCAGCAGCAGCCGGTCCTGGGTGGAGAGCATGGACTCCTTCTTCTTGCAGGAGGGCCTGTCGGTCTCCGCGGGGCAGCCCGGGCCCGGGGGCTCCGTCCCATTGACAGAAGGGCCGCTCTCTGCGGCCACCGCCACCCCGAGGTCCTCTTCGGGGGGGAGCGGGGCGCCGGGGGCGTCCGAGGAGCTGCCGCCACGGGCCAGGCCCTTCTCGCTGCCCTCCAGGCTGAGCACGCTGCCGCTGCGGCTGGCCAGCCTCGGGGTCGCGAAGCCGGCAGACTTGCCGTCCTCCAGGGCCAGGCTGCTCCGCCGGGAGAAGCCGCTGGCGAACCGCTCGGCGATGACACTGGCCTGGTCCAGCACCGAGGGCGGCAGGAGGCTCTCGGGCTCCTGGGCAGCCCCCGTTTCCTCCTCCTCCTCCTCCTCCTCCTCTTCCTCCTCCTCCTCTTCTTCTACCTCCTCCTCCTCGCTGCTCAAGGCCTTCATGCCCTCGGTGCTCTCAGCCGCTAGGAAGTCCACCATGTCACTCGGGGGGCCCAGCCCCAGCGGCTCCCCATGGGCATCCAGCTGTGTCTCCAGGACTTCCGGGGACTCCGTGTCCGAGGGCATCTCCTCGGCGCTGGGACCCTCCTCGGCAGCAAACACCTCCTGCTCGGCCCCAGCCTCAGGGTCCGGCTCCACCTGGGACAGCACAGAGAGCTCACATGAGACACGGGGATGTGGGGACAGTGCGGCCTGCTCAAGGCCCAGTGAGTGTCAGGGGCTGCGGGTTTAGGACGGAAGGGGCAGCAGGTCCTGAGGGAGAGGCACTGGCGCTGTCCGCAGGGACCCTGTCGCTGGGGTGCTGGGCCCATGTCCTCAAAGCCAAGGAACCGCCTAGGAGCACAGACGGGGAAAGCGGTGAGGCTCCGTGCAGCCTGTCTGGGGGCAGCCTGCCCGATGGAGCCAGCACGCTGCCCAGGGAGGCAGTTCCCCGAGCCCTGGAGCTCCCCACAGGGAGTGGTTCTGGGCGCAAACCCAGGCCCAAGCAACACGAGGCCGCTCCTGCTTCCCCGAGGGGCCGGGGCCTCTCGTGCAGCTCAGGGTCCCGCGGGCAACAGGACCACAAGCTAGAATCCAGCATGTCCAAACTATCGATCATTTCAATGTGTAATCAATATAAAAAGCTATTGAGACGCCTTTTGTTTTCTTTGTATGAAGTTTTGGCAATCTGGGGTGTATATTACCCCGGAGGGCAAGACGGGAATGTGGCTCCTGTGGATGACTCCACATAGGCCCAGCAGATGGGGAAGGAAGGAAGCAAATCTGATAAACCTTGTAGGTCATTGGAACCACAAAACTGGCCAGAACAGGCAGCTTTCCAGTGAGTCTGTAGGGAGACGCTAAAGAGCAAACACTCTATCATCTGAGGAACTGATCCAACCCAGAATCTGCAGAGCAGAGCCTGAGACCTAGGCCCTCACGGCCCCGTGAGAGCAGCCACCAGCCCCACGTGCCTCCAAACACCTGCAATGTGGCCAATCCAAACGGAAAACAGCTGTAAAGGTAAAATACACCCCAGACTTCATACAGAGAAAACATAAAGCATCTCAATAGCTTTTTATATTGATTATATATTGAAATGATCAGTAGTTTGGACATGCTGGATTACATTATTTTTGTAAATTGATTTTTTTAAAAAGAGGAAGAGGGAGAGAGAGAGGAAGAGTGGGAGGGAGAGAAAAACACAATTGAGCTACCCGGCCAGGGCAGTTAATGATTTTTTTTAATGTGATTACTAGACCATTTGAAATTACACAGGTGGCCCTGGCCAGTGTGGCTCAGTTGGTTGAGCACTGTCTTGTGCATCAAAAAGTTGCCAGTTCAATTTACAATCTGGACACATGCCCGGGTTTCGGGCTCAGTTCCTGGTCAGGGTCTGTTCGGGAGGCAGCCAACTGATGTTTTTCTCTTTCTCTCTGCCTCTCTCCCCCTCCCTTGCTATAAAATCAATAAAAACATATTTTTTTTAAAAAAAATGCTAAAATGGCATGTGTGGCTAGCATCATATTATCATTGGATAGGACCACTCTAGGTTCTCATCCAATGTCACCCAGGTGAGGCCCTCTAGGCCTCATGAACAAATTTTCATAATGTAGGGGAAGCTGAGGACTCCATTCTAGACACTGCCAGACGGCATGGGTGGCAGGAAAAAGAGCGTGGGCTTCGGAGTCACAGACCCCCACCTGGTCTCAGCGTGGCCCCTCCATGCCAGGCACATCCCCCAGCCCTTCTTAGTTGTCGCAGGGGACAGACGAGGAAATGAACATCCGACAGGTAGGAGGTACCTACCGAGTGGATGTCAATATGCTACCCTGCCGCCCAGGGGGGCACAGGTGTGAGTTAAATGCCTGGGCCTCTGGCAGGGGTGGGGCCGAATGTCCTGCACAAGGAGGCCTGGCCAAGGGGACCCAAAATCTGGTCACTTCTGCTGACTGTGCCCCTGGGCAAGGGACCACATCTGCCCGAAGGCACGGGCACCTTTTCTGATTCGTGGGAAGGGGCTCACCAAGCCAGGCACCCACAGACCAGACGGGTTTCCCAAAGGGGCAGAAGTCCTGTCCCCACGGGCCCTATGGGAGAGCCCACGCCTGCAAGCCTGGAGGTCAGGTCTGGCTCCAGACGCCTCTGCACTGTCCCCCTCCCGCCGGCCGGCCGCTCACCTCAGGCAGGGAAGAAACGGACTCGAAGCTCCTGCGCTTCTCGGCACGGGTGGGAGACCGGCCGCTGGGCCGCCGGCAGCTCTTGGCGCCTTCCGACTCCCTGCGCCCCTTCCCCTGCAGCAAGAGGGCAGTCGTCAGGCCCCGGGGCCACGGGGAGCCGGTCCCTTCCGCATCCCAACGCGGCAGCACCTCCTGAGCCCAGGGGGCTGGGCTTTGCTGAGAGCCAGCCCTGGACCAGAGCCACTCCGAGGTCAGCGTGAACGGGTCCCTGCCAGGCGTGCGGCCTCAGAAAAGCCCAACCCTCCTGACCCTTCCAGCCCTGCTCTGCGCAGCAGGCTCCCCTTCCCCACCCCCACCCTCACCCCCCACCCGTTAGTCATGCGCGTTGGGTGGTTTGCTAGTCCGCGCCCAGGCCTGGAACCATGCATGCCAGGGGCTCACCAGGGCGTGACCGGGAGTGAGGGGTTAAGAAGTGCTGATGGCAGAAGTCAAGGAACGAGGACAGAGGGTCGGGGAGGGCAGGGGAGAGGACGCCAGGATGGGCACGGGCTTGCACAGGCCAGGGAGCATGCAAGGAGGAGGGGAGATCAAAGAGACACCTCACCATAGCACCCCGGGAGAAAAGTAAAGCGTTGGCCCGATAGTGCCAGCAGTGGAGGGCGGCCAGCAGGGAGCTGGCAAAGTCGGCTACCTGCTCCGCCACTGCCAGGCTCTCCTCCTCCTCCTCCTCCTCCTCTTCCTCTGAGCCTGGGGGCTCTGGCCCAGACCCCTTCTTGCTGCCTTCATGCCCTGCCAGGTCCTCCAGAGTGACCTGAAACGCCTGCTCCTCCTCGTCCTCCTCCTCTTCCTCCTCTACCACTTCCTCCTCCTCCTCCTCCTCCTCCTGCTCCTGCTCCTCCCGGGCAGCCCCTTCAGGCTCCGGCGGCAGGCCCCGCGTACGGGGCGGCTGCCCACAGTCCAGGAGAACGCCAGCGCTGCCCGCATGCTGTTCAGAGCAAAGACCCCCTCGTGACCAGCCCCAGGCAACACCCCTCCTCCTGCCAAGGGCCGGGGGAGAGGCTGCGTACATAAATCCACATCTAGATACCAGAGAGGACCAGAAGGGGGGGAGGGGGGGACAGGTTTCTCGTGGTAGGAAGCTGGGACCTGGGAAAGCTAGGAATGGGGCCTGGAACTCAAGACTCAAGCCCGGGAGAATGGAGAGAAGGAGAGAGGATCCCGGCTGGGCTGGCCACCACCAGGGTGTCTCTCCAGGAAAGGGTACGGAAGGGTCCCTGGGGCATGGGCCACGGCTCGTTCATCTCTGTGACCCTCATGACAGAGCCTGGTGCACAGGAGGCGCTGGGTAGGTATTTGTCCAATGAATGGAGACGGTGAGCGCTGAAGGGGCCAGGGGCTGACCTGGGCAGCCCCACCCCTCCCGCCCCAGCCAGGCCCCTCTGCCCACAGCCTTACCTTCATTCCTCTGGCCGCTCGGGTCGCTGCCACCACCACAGAGTCCCAGCACACGGCGAGGGGAGGGAGAGGGGACGGGCGGACAGGAGAAAGAGCCTCTTTAGAGAGAGAGCCAGAGGCTGAGGAGACCTCTCCGGGGCTCCTGTTCCCCAAACCCTCACCTTCCACAGGAATGACTGACGGAACAGGGGGAGGGGGGGCGGGGGGGGAGGGGGCTGCAGTGGGGTGGGGGTGCAGAGCAGTGCAGGTCTGTGAGTGTCACTTGCTTCTGCTGCTACCCGAGGACAGTGACAGGAATGGCCCACGTCCGGGGAGGAACAGAGACAGAGTCCCCTCTGCACTGTCCTCGACACCACCGCCCCTGAGATGGTCACCTACGACACCTTCCCGCCCCCACCCTGCAGCTCCCCCGGTGGCTGCTCCCCCCGCACACTCACCTTTCTCGCTGAGCTGCCTGAGCAGGTGTTTGGTTGGCTCTGCGGAGGGAAGCAGACGGGCAGTCAGCGCAGCCTGGGAGCAGCCGTGCCCGCCCGGCTCCCAAGCCGCAGCGCCACCAGCCCATCACCAGCTCAAAGTCCACACGGGCTCGCTCCCCACCCACAGCCCGAGGGGCTAGAGGAGGCGGGGCCCCTCCCATCAGCCCTGGGACCTCTGCTGTGCCCGCCAGCCCCCAGAGCAGCACAGCCCCGACCCCCTGGGTTAGCACTGCTCCCCCAAGGAGCCACTGCCCCACACCGCCCTGCAGGCCCACGAGGCCTCTCTCCAGCCCTCTCCCGGGAGGTCCGCGGCTCCCCTCAGGCCCCCCGTCCCCGCAATGAGCAGCACGCCAGCACCCTCGCCGCAGCCCAGGCCGCGCCCTCTCCTAGCACCCGCGGGAAAGCAGAGGCCGCACCCGACTTTCTGCGGCCCGCGAGGCCTGGCACCGTGAGGCCTCGCTGCTGGCTGGGGAGTGTTGCCCGGCTGTGCAGAGGCTGCCCGGGCTCTGGGGACGGGATACAAAACACAGGCGTTAGGCTGGCGGGTGACCGCCTTGGACTCCAGCCTTTCCGGGGACAGACCTGAGACAGGCAGGCTCCAGGGACCTCCTGAGGGAGCCTGGGCCGGAGCCCACACCGCCCTTGCCCAGCCGGCCTGGCATGAGAGGCCCACTAACCTCGCCACCAGAGGAAAGTCTGCTGAGGTGTGTGTGCCTGCAGGAGCACACACAACCTGCACCATACCAGTCAACAAGTCTGATTGTTTTCATCAAACACTCCACCTTTTCCGGTTAGGGCTTATTTATCAAAAATATCTACTAAGTGACCAGCAATGGCAGCAGCACCTCACTTATCCACCAACGTCACTTGTCTGCCCATCTGGGCTCCCTGGGAGGAGGAAGCAGCAAGGGCCCAGCGGCAGGCGGAGCAGCTGGCCTCCTGACCTCCCTGCTCAGCTGCTGCCCGGCCTGCTCCACACACTCCTCCCAAGCCCAGTGGACTGGTTTCTAACGGTCAGAAGAGGGAGAAGGGATACTTACAGGCAAGCACACGAAGACAGAATAGAGCAAACACTCGTCAGGGTAAACATGGACACAACAGAGGCTGTCTCTATGGCAACCACGGCCTCTTCCCCAACCCCACCCCCTTACTCCTCGGGGGACCCTGGAGAATCCAGCCGTCTACACACCAGCGTGAGGCCACTGCACGGCTTCCGAAAAGGAGAAGCTCCACTCCGGCGAGCATCCTCTAGGTTAAAAGCTCCGGAGGGTGAAGCGTGTGCTTAGAGAGAAGTCTCTTTCATAATGGTGAAAGCGAAAGCCCTGAAACAAGCACACAAACGATGCCCAGACCTCTTTCGAGTTCCCAGGCGAAACTCTCAGCCACGTGGGGACGTAGGCTCTGAACCGGCTCATTTCCCGCTGCCCGGACAGCTGCAGGGTGGCTACGACAGGTAGACTGACGACGGCCACCGCCACCGTCACTCCCCGAGCACGCCCATGCGCCAGAGCTCCCGATGCAAAGCTGTGGCAGGTCACGGGGAGCGCGAGAGCGACAGGGAAGCGGGGGAAACAGAGAGGGCCAGAGACTGACCAAGTTCGCACCGCCAAGGTGGGCCTTTCAACACATGGACACAAGGCACCGTCAAATTCTGCCGCCACAAGGGGTTTGCCTAGGGTTCAAGGTCCATTGGGAGCAACACCAAGCAAAATGAAACCACAACAGCTTTCCGAGACCACGCGGCTCATGCACCAATCCACAGTTACCCAGGAGGCCAGTCAAAGCCCAATGCCCTGTACAGATCCAAGCCAGGGCACTGCCCCAGTCACACCCGGGTCTCTCTCTCCACGGTCTCTCCCCACGTCAATAAGTTTGGCAGCACCGACAGAAGCCAATTGGTCCCTCGGCCTCCAACGGAAGGGCGAGTGAAAACCGATGTGGCAAACACCGGGAGAGCTAAGGATAGAAAAGCAAGGCCTTCTCCTTCTCAATAGACGATTCACTCCAGAAACGCCAAGCGCACAGCCGCGAGCCCCGTCCGTCATGGAAAACCCAGGAGAGGAAGACGGAACGTTCCCCCGAGGCCCAAAGCAAATATTTCCCGTCTGGATTCGGTGCCACTAGAAGCCGGACTTGTTTTCCCCACGCCCTGCCTCGCTCCTCCGCGGCTGGGCCGGGGCCCGTCCGTGATGCCGCCCGGTACTCCTGGCCGGCTCCCAGGAGCGGCGAGGGGAGGTTCCCGTGGCCGGGGAGCGGAGAAGGCTGCCAGGGCCTGCGCGACCGGCATGCCCAGGGCCTCGGGAAAGGTGGGCTCCCCACAGTGCAGGGAGAGGGCAGCACAGGGAGAGGATGCTCAGCACACACCCTCCTGCCCTTCCCAGGGTTTCTGCAGGTGAGAGCCAGCCCCAAAGGCTGCTGCCAACGGCCCCGTGAAGATGCCTCTGCCCACCGGCCTCCCCTTACCAGACTGCCGGCGGCCCTGGCGCGCGTGGGTTGGCGCCTCGTCCTGGGAGGACCAGGCCTTCTTCAGGCGCTCCGGGCTGTAGCGGTGCCGGTTGGGATCTGCACCCGGAAGAGACAGTCAGGCCTCCGGGACACGATCCGCCATGGCCGAGGCTCCGACCGTACCCGACCAGCCTCTGCTGCCCCGCCTCCAGGGGCCAGAAGCCTCACACCTTCCATCCACTTCCACCCGGGGCATCGGCAGGGAGACCGCCCGTCAGCGGTGCCGTGTGCCTCGGCGCCCAGGAGCCCCCGGGGCCTGACTACAGGAGCCGCCGGTCCTCCCCGCCCCCTGGCATCTCAGGGTCGGGCCAAGCCTCCCCGGGACGCAGCCTGACCCAGGACGGTGTGCCGTTAGGGGCGGGGCAGCGGGAAGGGTCACTCACAATAGGAGTCCATTTCCAAGATCGCTTCCTTGGCCTGGAGAGGAGAAGCCCGCCTGGTTATGTGTGACCCCGCCACGGGCCCTGCATCCCCGACGCCGCCCCCACTTGGTGAGCGAGGACACCCCTCCCCCCTCCACAGTGCTCTGTGAAAGCCCCGGCATCTGCTGAACTGGCCCCCGCAGTTCAGTGGAGCCAGTGTCCGGAGGGCAGGCCCCTATGAAGCCCACCGCTGGCTCTGCAGGACACCGGCTCCCCGCACGCCCTCGGGGGCCGGGGGTGGGCGGTCCAGGAACGCACCTTCTGGGGGATGGTGGTGTGGTGGTTCTCCAGGATGAGCCTCTTGATGTGGTGCGTCCAGTTCCGCTTCTCCTGCACGGTTTTGGCCTGGGAGGAGGCGAGAGAGGGGCCGGGGGTCGTCACCGGCCCAAAGGAACACGGCACGGGCGTGCTCCAGCCGAGCAGGCGGAGGGGGAAGGGGGCCTCTGCCAGGGCCTGAGAGACGCCCACAGTGACCCCCACAGCCAAGCGAGCGGAGGAGACAGGCCCGCCCCCGGACCCCCCTCCCTCTGCCCCCGGCCCCCCGTCACCTGGATGCTGTACTGCTGCTTGCTGTGCTTGTAGTGGGTGACGGTGAAGCACAGGGAGTCTCTGGTGCTTTCGATCAGCATCAGGGAGGAGCACTGGGGAGGAGGGGAGGGCAGTCAAGGACGAGGAAGGGCAATCGCGGAAGGACGGAGCTGCGCCCACACGGACTCGGGGCTGACGCAGAGGGTGAGGACAGCGAGGAGGAAAGGGGACGGAGGGGGCGGAGAGGGCGGAGGGGGCGCAGGGTGGGGGGCAGCCCGGTTACCGGGATGTGACCCTTGTACACGAAGTGGTCGCCCCGCTTCTTGGTGATGAGCAGCGCCTTGTCGAAGAGGAAGAAGGTCTTCTCGCTCCGCACGCGGTGCAGGCGGAAGGTGCCCTCCAGGACCAGCTCCCCGTAGATGGTCAGGTCGGGCCCCTTCCAGTTGATGAGCAGCGACTGGATCTCCTGCAGCCCAGAAGCCCCCACCCCCAGGGTCAGGCTTCTCACCATGACCTTCCTGGGGACCCACAGGACCCCAAGAAGCTCCTGCAAACCCCACCAGCTCCTGGGTCCCCAAGAGGAGCCTGCCCCACACGGACATCACCCCTCAGCTCACCCCAGCGGGCGCCCCCCCCTCCCTCGCCCCCTCCCTCGCCCCCGACCAGCCCGGAGCACCTGCAGCCGGACTGCGTGCTCGTGCCTCCTCTTCATGTCGTTGATGTACCAGGCCACGCAGGTCATGGTGTCGATGGCGTCCTCCACCACCTCGAAGCCGTCCTCCTCTTCGTCGAAGTGTTTGGCGATCTCCTGCGCGGGACCCAGGGGCTTAGGCGGCCCGCGGGCTCGAGGGCCCCCCTCCCCCCGCCGCCCCGCGCGGGGGGGGGCCCCCCTGGCTTACCTGGAGCAGCAGGTGGTACTTGAGGATGCGCTGCACCGGCTTCAGCAGGTAGGAGCCCAGGGGCAGCGAGTGCTGCAGCAGCGCCTGCCGGTCCCGGAAGAACTTGGCCTGCTGCTTGTCCCGCATGCACTCGGTCAGGGCGGCCACGGAGCTGGAGGGGGGAGGGGCGGTCACCGCCTGGGACGGGCCTGGGCGATGGGTCAGCCACCCCTCTCCACCCCCAATGACTCACTTGGGGTAGTTGTTGCAATACTGGGTGTAGATATCAAACTCTTGACTCTACGGAGGAACCCAAAAAAGAGTGACTTTAGGGAAACTCCCTTTGGATTGTAAACCCAGACCTGCCCCTGGCCCCAGAGCAACTGGGCAGACCCATCTTCGTACCCATCTGCCTGGGATGTGTCGTCCACCAGCGACCCTTGGCCCCACCCAAGAACACCCTCCCCGTTCCAGACAGGACATGTGGCACCAAGAAGGAGAGGGGCACCAAGGAGGTGGGGGTCCCTGTCCCACGGAGCCCCCAGCAGAGGAGGACGAGAGGCGAGCACCCCGCCCCTCTTACCCGCTCCACAAAGCAGCTGGCCACGGCCACAGGGTCGCTGTTGCAGTTGTCCAGGTCTCTGAGTAGCTGGCTGGGTGGGGGAGAACGGTCTTCAGACCCCGGGCCACTCGCAGCCTCCACATCCACCAGCACGCCATGCCCCTCCCCAGCCTCCTGCCCGGACCCCTAGGCAGCCCAGAGCCATGCCCGAGTCAAAGTGAGCCCTGCCTGGGGCAGCAACCAAGAAAGCATCCAGCTACACTGCAAAGACGGGGAGCAAGGGACAGGGACACCACATGCTCAGCACGAGGGAGAAGGGGCAGCAGTACCCACCTCGGGAGGACACGGCTCCTCTGCAGGCAGGAGGAGTCAAATACACAAAAGCAGAGATTAAAGGAGAAAGAAGGGAGGGGGACTCGTAAAAGAACCGAGGCCCCCCCGTTCAAAAGGAAGGAGATAGGGGAGTCCTAGCACCCCTTGTTCTATAGGAAACCCTAGAGGGTGCTTCCCCTGCCTCTTCCCCCTGGGCTCACCCCTCTTCCCAATCCCCCACAATCCCGCCCAGGTCTCCCTCTCAGGCTTCTCCAGCGGGCACAGCAGGAAGTCTCCCTGCCCATCTTACAGGGCCTGGGGCAAGGCGCCTCCTGAACTGCCAACACTGTCCCCTCCAGCTCTGCTCCTCCTGACCAGTGCCCTTCCCCTGGGGCATCTGTGGGCCCAGGCGGCACACCCTGGATCCTCAAGAAGCCCTTTGCCCTGAAGCAGCGCTCACCAGGCCTTGTGCAGCCTCCCACCCCGTCCTGCCTGACCTGTGCATGCCCCTAAAACAGGGGTGGGGAACCTTTTCTCTGCCAACATCACCTGTGGGTCATACAAATGTATCAACTTTAAAATTAGCCTGCTATGCCTTAGCTGGTGTGGCTCAGTGGATAGAGCGTGGGCCTTGGGACTGAAGGGTCCCAGGTTTGATTCTGGTCAAGGGCACATGCCCAGGTTGCAGGCTCCATTCCCAGGAGGGGGTGTGCAGGAGACAGCTGATCAATGATTCTCTCTCATCATTGATGTTTTTCTCTCTCTCTCTCCCCTTCGCCCTTCCTCTCTAAAATCAATAAAAATATATTAAAATAAATAAATAAAAGTAGCCTGCTATCCCTAGTCAAACATTTGATTAACTCACCCCTAACATCTCGGCAGGGCCAGACCAAATGATCCCTCGGGACTTATACGGACCACAGGCTGGACACTCCCCACCCCTGCAAAGGGTCAGATCACCTCGAGGGAGCCCTGACTTCTCATAGGATAAGAAGATGGAGAAGAAACTAAGAGATGTGCAAGTGGGAGGAAAAAAAAGGGGGGGGGGCCCACAGAGAGCTAGAGGGAGCATATCAGGAAAGGGTCTAGCAGTCCCCTGAGGGGGTGTGACCCAGGCTGAACCCAACAAGCACCAGGCCCCGGGGCATGTGGTCCCTCAGGCCCTCTCTCCTTCAGGGAGCTCACTACACTTCTGTACAGGGATAGACCATCTCCCCCATCCTCAGAGATCAGGGCCCCCACGCCACTGCCCATAACACCCAGGACATCCAGAATTCCTCTCTAGGCCCCGAGAGGGGCCTCCCAGGCAGGACCAGGCGACCGTCGGACCCACTCATACCTGTTCAGTGCATAGATGCTTTCTATGTTCCCGAAGAGGGCGCTGACTTGTTCTGGCTGCAGCAGCCCGGGGGTGTCGATGATCTTCAGGAGGTAGTCCTGCACGGAGAGAGGCATCAGAGCCCAGGCCTCCCGCCCCATCGCACAATCCCGTCCCCCAGCCACACCTCATGTCCCTGCCCCAGTTCACAGCCACCGTGCGATTTCACAGACATCACCTGCTACACCAGGGGGGACAGCTCCACCAAAAGCTAACGTCCACATGGACCGTCAGCATGTGAACCTATCTGGAAACTGGGTTTTTGCACATGCAACTGGTTAAGGATCTCAAGAGGGTATCCCCCTGAATTTAGGGTGGGTCCTAAGTCCAATGACTAGTGTCCTCCTAAGAGAGAACCACAGAGGTGGAGAAGAAGGCAACGTGAAGGCGGAGGCCCAGGTGGCGGCGATGCAGCTACAAGCCACGGCACAGGAGGAAGGCCAGCAACCAGCAGGAGCAGGAAGGAGGCTTGGAACACATCGCCCTCAGAGCCGCCAGAAGGAGCTACCCTACCAACGTCTTGGTTTCTAACTTCTGGCCTCCTGCACCGAGCCAGAAGCAAAGGCTGCATCCTAAGCCGCTGGGTCCGTGGTAATCTGGAAACCCACAAACTCCCTGCGCAAGCAGCTCCCGCAGCGGCAGCCACCTCCTCCTGTGTGCCCGGCACAGCGTGGACCCTCCGCCCGCACAGCTGCATCCATCTCCATTTCCCAAACGAGGGACCTCCGGGGCAACCCCACTGCCTGAGACCCTGCCGCTATAGGGAACCACGGAACAGGGATCCAGGAGGAGACAGACCGGTGGAGTCCAGTGTCCATCTCCACGGATCACAGGAGTCCCTTCCCTCCCTGGTCAAGGGCGCCTGCTCCCTGGGGACCCTCAGTAAATTCTGCTGGCGGCCGAAACCGGTTTGGCTCAGAGAGCGTCAGCCTACGGACTGAAAGGTCCCAGGTTCGATTCTGGTCAAGGGCATATATATCTTGGTGGCGGGCACATCCCCAGTGGAGGGGGGTGTGCAAGAGGCAGCTGATCGATGATTCTCTCCCATCGATGTTTCTGACTCTCTATCCCTCTCTGTAAAAAAATCAATAAAATATATTTTTTAAAAAAACAAAACACTTCTGCTGGCGGAGCCAGTGGTCTGACCCAGAGTCACAGGGCAGTGTGAGCCGTCAGCGGCGTCCCCGGGGCGGGAGAGGCCCGGCTTCCCCACCCGTCCCACCTGTCCGGGGGAAGCAGACCTCCAGGACAGACGTGCCAGGAGAACTGTCCTTCGGGGGCGGCAGGCCTACGGGCCGGCGCCGGGCTGCAGGGCCAGCCCGCGGGGAGGCGGCGGGCGCCCGTCCTTACCTCCACGATGCTGCGCAGGTCCTGCACGTACATGCGCTCCGTCTCCACGATCTCCCGCACCACGCGGCCCAGGTAGCTGAGCTTGTGCGCGGGCGCCGCGGCGGCCCGGCCGCTGAACGGGGACAGGGGCCCCTTCTTGGCGGGCCGGCCGCTGGAGTTGTTGTTGCTGTTGGGGGGGTGCCGGCCCCGCGGCGAGCCCGCCCCGTTCCTGGCCGGGGCCTCGGGGCCGCGGGGCTCCTCCATGGCGCCGCGGCTGTCCCGGGAGGAGCCGGACGAGGACGCGGTGGAGGCGAGGCTCACGGGCCGCTCCTGGCTGCCGTCCGGGTGCAGGGAGGTAGAGACGGGCATCCTGGCATCGCGGCCCGGCGAGGCCGCTCCGGGGAGGTTCTGGGCAGGGCAGACAGAGCGTCAGACTCGAGTCCGCACAGGGACGGAAGGTAGCAGGGTGGCAGCGGGAGGGGGGAGAAGGGGAGGGGGCGGGCAGGGCGGTTGTTGTTTAATGGATGCAGAGTTTCCCTTTTGCAAGATAAGACAAAGTCCTGTGGGTGGACTGGTGGTGATGGACACGCACGACGCTATGAATGGACTTAATGGCACTTAACAATGGTTAAAATGCAAATATTACCTTATTTTAAGAACAGTTTTACCACAATTTTAAAAACAGCAACTAGCCCTAGCCAGATAGAGCATCGGCCTGCCGACTGAAGGATCCCAGGTTGCGGGCTTGATCCCCAGTAGCGGGTGTGCAGGAGGCAGCTGATCAGTGATTTCCTCTCATCATTGATGTTTCTAGCTCTCTCTCTCCCTTCCTCTCTGAAATAAACATTAAAAAAAAAAAAAAAAAAAAACCCAGCAACTTGGAATCCCCAGGAAGTCCCTTCCCCAGACCCTAGGAGCATCTATAAGGATGCCCAATAACATTCCTTCCCGGCTCCAGCAGCTCCACCTCCACCCTTCCAGGGGAGAAGACAGGTGGATGACACCCGGACAACAGGGGCTAGGAAACCCCAGGACAGCAGAGAGGACACCTCGGCCAGAGCCACGGTGAGGGGCGGGAGGGAGTGCCTTCTGAGGAAATCCCAAGCACCTTGCCTCTCGGTGCCTCAGCTCCTCACCATCTGCCCACGTGTGTGTCCTCCGGGCTCTGAGCCCTTGGCACAGGGCACGGGCTCCATACACTGTCAAACAGTGATGCTACGGTAGCTGTCAGAAAGCACTTCCCACGTGCCCACCTGTCCGGGCCTGCGCTCCAGTCCCCGGGCAAAGGCAGGCAAAGACCTGGCTCTTAAAATCTATGAGGACATGCACGCCAGAGGGGATCGGTCTCCCTGAGGTTCCAACATCTCTGGGGCACCAGGGACTGCACCATGAACCTGGGAACTTCCGGAGACTGACAGAAAGCAGAGGAGAGGGCACCAAGGCTGAGCCCACATGACCCCTGACCCATGCCCAGGAGCAGGTACAAGCCCCTGACTCACCCTGGCTCCCAGGGACAGGAAATTCCGCAGGGCTGAGCCGCGGTGAGTCTCCCTACACCTACACTACCCAGCCCAGCTCAGCTCAGCACCAAAGGCAGGAAGCTGCTCCCCGATGAGGCAGACACAGCCTGGGGTGGACTTTATTCCCAGCAGGTGGTGGTGGACTCACAGGAAGGCCTGCCCGAAGCAGCAAGTCAGGGGAGGGGCTGTGGCCCTGGAGAGGAACAGGCACTCCACCTCCACCCCCAGCACCAGCGCTCACCCACACCCCTTCCAGGAAGCGCACCTGATCGCTGCTTCCGCAGGAAAAGGTTCCAGAGAGCATCCCTACATGGACCCACAGCCTCCCGCCCCCACGGACCCACAGCCTCCCGTCCGCCCCTCGTTCTACGTCTCAGAAGCTACCAGATCACAGACCACAGCTGTGAGGAAAAGGACCTAGGAGTTGCCATCCCTCCGATAACGGTGACTTTGCCGCCTGGTTTTCTGTGCCTCTGCCCCAACCTGTGCCAACACCCCAGGCTCTGGCTTTTGTGAATGTTCTCTAGGCTTGAACATTATTCCCTCCCCACCCATCCCATGACATACGAACTGGCCCCAACCAGCGTCACTTACGTAGATCCAACGCTCAGGTTCAGAGCACGGGCCACCACCACCTGCCCCTGGAACCCGCCCCAGAAGGCAATGGGGGGGGGGGGGGGCGCACCTGCTGCATCAGCCTTCAGCACCCGGAGCTACACCTACTCAGGCACTCCCTGCAGAGACTGTGAGTGGTGACCGAAAGGCGGGGTGACCTTAAGGGCGATCTGGCAAGTGATGGTGAACAAATGGTGCTTCTACTGAGCTAAGTCGGGAGCACCCATCCACGCCAGCCCAGCAAAGAGCAAGGGCCCCCCAGACACAGGGCTCTGTCGCTGTGCATCTCAGCAGAGGTGCTTTGCTCCAGTGAGCCTCCCACTCTGCAGATGAGGACCAGTGGCAGCACGGGGGTGAGCCTGCATCCTCCCTCCCCCCCTCCCTCGGGCGCAACAAAAGGCGGTTAATTAACAGGATCACCGGTGGAACTGGGAAGCCCTTGGGAATGCAGTGCTGTTGTCTCTTCCTCCAGCTTCAAAGAGCCTTGAGAATGAGCCAGCCAGGCCCTTCCCCAGGACCAGCCGCAGGGCACTGCCAGGTCATCTCAGCACAAGGAGACCCATGCTCAGTCCCAGCCCTAACCCCAGCCCTGCGGGACTCTGGGGTCCTCAAAGCCACTGCAGGACGCCAGCACACACTCCCCTCCCCCGTCAGTTCCAGCTGGAACCATGGGGCAGGGACTTGTGGCCTAAGACCTTTCCCAGATCCGACCTGCGGTCAGTCAGCCCCTAGGGGGATGCTAAACGGAAAAGGCCCAAGTCCCAAAAGGATTTCACAGCTGGCCAGGTCACAGCCCCCTCCACCCCACCCCCTTGCTAACCACCCCCCTTCCCTCGCCACACACACACACACACACACACACACACACACACACACACACACGCGCACGCGCGCACACACACATATGCACACACGCACACATTCATATTCTCTCTCTCTCTCTCTCTCTCTCTCTCTCTCTCTCTCCCAGATTTATCTCTAAATCTAAAGGCTGCCTTCTGAGGACACCCTTTCCGGCCCCCATGCACACTTGGAGCTCAGAAACTAAAGTGCCTTTCCTACTTGAAGCAACTCTCTCTGATGAAACGTAGCCATCTGCTTGCAAGCCATGCTCACACTTTCAAAGCAGTGCCCCTGCCCAAATCCTCCGGGGCCTAAAACCAGGCCGAACAGCTAAAACGTTTTAAGCGCTATAGACATGACAAGCCAATTATGTGTGGTAAAAACTCTAGAGGTAGATACGGCTATTCTCCCCATTTCACAGATGCAGAAGCGGAGGCCACAGAAGCAGCAAGTGGTAGGGCCTGGATTTGAACGCCGCTCCAGTGTTTATGCTCTCCTGTCTCCCTCATGAATGTCGTACCAGCCGGGACCACAGGCAAAGGATGAGTCGCAGCCCTGGGCGCATGGCTTTGACTCAAGCAGAAGCCATAAAGGGGTGTTTAACCTGACACTCCTTTACCCCACAAAGGCCCCGTGGAGGTAAGAGGCTGCGTGTGAAGATTCTTTATGCCTATTCCTAGACCTGTTGTTCCCATTAGAACAACAGAGTCAACTACAGATTCCAGGGCGAAGGATGGCCGATCATGGAGAAGGGGAACGCATGTGGCCGTGAGGTCGGACTGTACATTCCCTGGATGATGAGGTAAGCTGAGCAGTGACGAGGAGACCCAGGACCACACGGCGCCTGCTCCTGCGTAGGAGGACGGGGGGAAGGATGTAGAGAACGAGAGAGATGGAGGATGAAGGGGCCAACGAGAGCCCACGAGGCCCAGTGTGGTGTGGACTGTGAGTGACATAAGAGACACCGCACTCCATGTGAGTGCGACCTGGTCCTCAATGCCTGTTCCCAACCGGGGCCGTGTGTGCTCCGGGCTCACGGAGAGCAGCTGCCCGCATGCCCCTGGCAGAGCCAACCTCTTCTCCTTCTGAGCATCACCTCATGGTAAGATTCACCCCAAAGCCAAGGTTAGAACTCGGGTCCTTCCGCTCATCTTGAAGACACTATCAGCTGGAGAAGTGGGAGCCCAGAGGAGCGACAGGCAGCCGGCAGCGATGCCCACGGCCACTGCCGCCCACGACACCAGGTCTTGGTCTCCAATTCCTCCACCTGTTCCCCAGCAGTGACCTCTCCCATCTCTCAACACGATTCAATCAGTCAACCACCAACCAGCAAGTCATTCTTCTAGAAAACGGCACATCTCACACCCCGTGCCCGGGAGCCTCTTGGACAAGGTCACCAAAGACCTTTCTTTTTTGGTGCCCTGACCAGGAATCGAACCCGAAACCTTTTGGTGCGCAAGACAATGCTCAGCCAATGGAGCCACTCGGATGGGAAGGGCCCAAGGAGCTGCTCGTACTACACCTTCCAGAGCCTGGGGGCAAGAGAGGAAGGGAGATCTGTTGTTTGGGGTTTTTTTTTTTTTTTTTCAGTTTGTTTGCTTGGGTTTTTTTTGTTTGTTTTTTAAACTTTCTCTAAATCTAACTATAAGCTACACCTGTAAGGTCAGCTGCCTCCAGAGGACCTTCCCTGAACATGCCCAGCCAGGAGGTGGGCAAGAGACAGGCCCCCAGGATTCCCACAGCTGGAAGTCAAGTCCCCATCCTTCTCCCCACTTGCCTCGGCACCATGTCCCATACCCCCTTCGATAAGAAAATGGCACCCCCAAAACCCACAATAGCCCCCCTCCTTCCCCATATTCTGTCCATAGGGCTTTGGTCACTGAGGCAACAGGACACAGCTCCCCACAACCAACTTCAGAAAAAAATGGCCTCCTGGGGGCACCCACCTTCTGGAGAACCTCTGCTCAGTTCCCAGGACTCGGCAGCACTCCCTGCTGGCCCTCCCCCGTCGGCGGGCCGAGAAGGCAGGAGAGGGAAGCGGGGCGCTGAGCTGCCAGCGAGCCCTCCGAGCAGGCCAGGCCGGCGCTCTGCAGGCACCCAGCACGCACTCCCGGCCCGGAGGCCGGTCCCCGTGCGGAGGAGGCTGATGTCATCATCCTCTCGCCCCACACCCAAGAAGTGGAAGCGGGACACGCCACGCCTGCTCGGGAGGCGGGCAGGAGAGGCGCCAGGGGGTTCCCCCAAAAGGCAACCGCTCCGAAGTCCACGGGCCAACGCGGGGAAAGGGAAGGAGGGCGCCCGGGCTGCCGACTGCCTCGTGTCTCTCCACCACCTTCCAAACTCCTCCCAGCTCAGGCAGCCGGGCGGCCTGACTTGCCAGGGCCACCCCACCCCACTGTCAGGATCCCCTCGGAGAAGGTGCCAGAAGGC